TAAAAGGGGACGCTGTCGTGGCCGCCTCCTTAATCTCCCAAATCATTTTCCTCTCTTCCCTCTTCTCCTCCTGCCCCAGACCTGCTTTTGTTTATAACAATCTCTTGGAAAGAAGATTGAAAGTGAAATCTGTTTCCTTGCTTAAATATATATATTTAAAGGGGGGAAGAAAGCCCTCTCTCCCCACCCCCTGTCTGCCCCTCGCCTGAGCTCTGTGGTTAATTGGAGGGTTGCCTGCTCTGGGTTGGTCGGTCAGCATGGACTCTCTGGTGCCCACTCATCACCCCATCACTGAAGGATCATTAAGGCAGGAAAACAGGCTGGGGGTGCGATGGGAAACCTACAGGAGGGGCTGCAAGGGTACCACTTAGCCACTGACTGCAGGAGCTATTTATGTTGCGGCTAATGACCAGCAGTTTGCTAGCGCCAGAGGTGAAGAGATACAATCTGAGGGGACAAAGGTAGACACAAGGCAGGACTTCCACTTTCATTGTTTAACATACAGTTGGCTTGGCCCAGGAGTGAAAAGAGTTGAAGAATTCTAGCCTTATCCTCTGCTGAATGAGTGACCCCACTCTCCACACCTCTCCAGGTTAGGGCTTATTTTGTGACAGAGGAAAGTGAAACATCTGTGTCATAGCAGGAGCAGTTAGGGTGGCACCTGAGGGGACCACCCATTGAGGAGGAGATGCTTGTGTGGAAATATGGACCCTGTTCTGCTGTCGGGGACATCTAGGGAGGGACCATCACACCTAGTAGAGGCCATCATGGCTATTGTCCTACCAACATTCCCCCCCGCCCCCCAACACACAAATTTGCACACCACGTCCCCTCTCTGCTCTGCCAGGGCATGTGCCTGACACCCCAGGTGGCACCTCAAGCACCACCCACTATCTGGCCCTCAGCCGAGTGTTCCACTGCCCCTGGCCCAGCCTGAAGCCAGCCAACAGGCTTAGTAGGGCAGGACAGGGCAGGCTGAAGGGCGAAGGAGGTGCTGAAAGCCTGCCATGGAGCCAGCATGGCTGCCTGCCAGCCCAGGATGGATTCCTCCGACCCCAGCTTCTCAGGAACACCTACTTCACTGGGCCCTGGTGCTAGGACCCGCACCGGTTGGGGGCTGTGCTTCAAGAGGAAGAACAGAGGCGGCTTTTTGGTGTTCTTTTCAGGGGGTCTTGCTCCCCCTCTGCCCCATCCAGGGCATGTTATTACTATCAGAAATATCAGACGTTTCAACTCAAATTAAAGTCAGGTTAAATGTCTCTGCTGCTGAAATTCCGCATGCTTCCAGATGGAGAGGAGGGACTCCCTCTCAACCTGCTGCCTTCTCTCTCTCCCTCCCCAAGAGGGGAACAAAAGCATCAATTTATAGTATTTTTTTCAGACCATTCAATCCCCTCTCAGTTTACAGATGGGGAAACTGAGGCCTAGAGTGAGGAATAGGCCTACTCAAGTTCACTCAAAAAGTTAGTGGCAGAGCTAGGCCTAGAATCCAGGTGTCTTGATTTCCATCCCAGAGTGTTTTTTCATGGCCCACATTTGCAACCCTGTCAGACCCACAATTTCCCTTAACTTTGAAGACTTCAAAATTGCCAACAGAGATGTCCTAGCATCTCAGAAGCTAGTAGGAAATTTCTCATAACTCCTGGCATGCAAAATTCACTTCATATTGCTTGATACAAAGCCCGTTGAATCATGGACTAGTTCCTACCCTTCCCTGAGTCTCAATTTTCTCATCCATTAAATGAGAAATACGGGAGACCATTGTTTCCAATTGCTCAGCATCCATTCCTTCTCTTCTAATAACAGCACCCTAAATTTCCTTAAGAAGCCACCTCTCCCACATGATAACTTCATGTGAGTCAGCTTCATAGGTTGACAGATGACCCAGCCTTAACCAATTAGAGCATTCCATCACACTGGACAGAGTGATTGGTTTATGCAAAGTCATGTGACCCCAGCTGGACCAATACAAATCTTCCCTGAAACTTTTGATAAAACTATAAGTAAAGAGACACTGGGCATTGATCAGCAAGAAGACATGAGCCTAGAGTTTCAGGAACTCTATAAGAAGAAGCTGCCTACGAATGATGCCTACAAGGAGAAATGGGATTTCAAGACATGGATAGACCTTATCTGAGCCTGGGATCTAGCATTGTCTGACTAGACAACTCTTGTACATTTCATTGATGTGAACTAACAAGATCTGGTTTTGGCTTAGACCAGTTTGAGTTGGATTCCTGCCATCTGCAACCAAAGGTTACCTTACTAATATAAAAGAGACTGGAAATATCTTATATCACCAAATGGTAGAGTTGGAAGAGACCTTAGGTGGTTGCCAGGTGGAGACTTAGGGGAAATATGATGAATGCATAAATGAGTCTGGGATAACCAGGCCTTTCATGGGCTGGTATGAAACTTCATACCATTCATACTGTTTTTGCCAGCTGCATTCTTCCAGCCCCTTGCCTATAGTAGACAGAGTATAGGCTTTGGAGGTAGATAGACCTGGCTTCGAACACTAGTTTCTGTATTTCCCATTCATATAGCCTGGGGCAGGTTGCTGTCTACACCTCAAGTTTAACCCAAACAGGTGTCAAAGAGCTGACAGGTCTAATCCAAGGAGCATCGAATAAGACACCATGACAAGACAAGACTTGGAATGTTAGGACGGCAGACATTGCTGGATAATTTGTAAGGGCAAAAGAATTGACAAACATCCTTACAGGCAGCTGGGTCAGGGATGAATGGGGACACCTCATAGTTGCGGTGTGCAGTTCCAAGGGGTGCCATTCACATAGCCTATGATGAGAAGGGAGCACCCTAGAGCTGTGTAGTCCATAACCTCTAAAACTGACATGGTAGCCTTAGAGCTGTGGCACACTGAAATTGACACCTGTGGCACACTGAAATTGACACCTGTGTCTTCTTCACTTAAGGCATATTCAGTTTTACTCTTTATATCTTTGAAGAAGTGGAACTGCAAGAATAATATTACCATAAGCTATTGTTGGAAATAGAGTGCAATTAGTGTTCTATTGTGGCCAAGGGACCTGGGAACACCAAAATACTGTCTCAGACTAAAGCCAACTCTCCCCACAAGGTTCCCAGGGGAAATATAGCCACACAGAACAACAGTAAAGGAAAGCAAAGTAGCTCTTCATTGTTAGTTGAGCCTCAAACCTTAGTGCAAGCTCTGATGCATGTGGCTGGATCATGTGGTCTAAGCTAGAGTCTTGAGAGATCTCTTCCTACCACAAGGCCAAACTCAAATCTCTGATCTTAGCTTACTCCTGTTGGCCTCATGGAAGACAGAGACAAAAAAAAAAGTCATGGCTGATTAAAGCTGTCCCCAAGCTAGCACATGGCTCCAGCCACACACACCAAAGAGAAAAAGAGGAGCAATTGACACCCTTATCCTGACTGTGATGCGTAGTGACTTGACCCACTGATTGGTGGCCCAATTGGTATCCTGATAATTGACCAGTCTTCCTGGTAGGGGCAGGGGAACAAAAAAGGGGATGGTAGAAGGGCAGTTTTTCCCAGCCCTGGCCCACAGGGACCTGGGGTGAGAAACAGGTTTAGAGGGAGTAAAATTGTGGACTGAGTAGACATAAGGAACTCCTTCTCATATCCCAAAACTTTAGAAATAAATATACTACATATTTTAAAAAAATTGCCATTCTGGAATATACTTGGTGACCAATGCAAAAAGACTATGAAGACGACAAAATAAAGACATTTTCAGACATTCAAGAGCTTGGAAATTTTATCAGTCAAATATCCTCTCTGAAATAATCAGTAGTGAATATATGCCACTGAGAAACACAATGAATTCAAGTACAAATAGGATATAAGGAGTAATGAGCAAAGAAATCAATCTGTAAGAGAAGATATCAAAACAAGAAGTGATTTGGGTGACAGCATGGGCAGCAGAGAGCAAAGAGGGAACAGAGGTAAGAAAATATACACTAGGTCTCTTGCCTTGTCTGGAGGGAGACTAGAGATACAGATTAATGCTAAATGTTGTCAGAAAATGTATGTGTTTTAGTATGTGTATTACTAATGTACAGGTAAACCTTAGACACTTAGAAATAAAATGTATACTTTTAAAACCATTTACAAGACACATATGTAAAACAAAATAGCTCAAAAAGGTTGAAAATAAAAGAAGTGAAAAATATACTCAAGAGCCAATAAAAAGAATACAGATGTAGCAATATTAATGTTAGACAAGACAAAATTCAAAGCAAAAAGCATTTAAGAGGATAAAGGATATTTTATTGATAATAGGTACAGGCCACCACAAAGTTTTAACTATAAGCCTTTACAATGTATATTTAAAATGTATATTTAAAACAGAGATCATCAAATCCACAATTGTAGTGTAAAAACATACCTTCTGCAGAAATTGTCACATCAGGTGCTGACTAACTTACTAACTAAAGACTTAAAGGTTTTAATAATGCAATTAACAATCTAAAATATATTTATGCTTGTACTAACAGACAGAAAATGCACACACTTTTCAAATGCACATTGAATACTTATGAAAATGGATGATAATTAAGTGCCAAGGGAAATCTCAAAGAACTCCAAATAATAAAAATCATATAGGGTTACATGTTAACCACAAGGGCAATAAAATTACATTAAATGACAACATAGTGGTTTGAAATCCATGCCCCTGGAAATAAGAGAGGAAAAGCACACTTTTAATCTCATCAAAGACAAAATCATATTGGAAATTACAAACCAATACAAGATGGAAAGCCATAAGATCTCTGTATATCAAAACCATTGGGGTGTAGCTAAAGTAGTACTCAGAGGAAAATGCATGGTCTTAAAAGCACTTATTAAAAACAAGAAATATTGTGGATAAATAAATTAAGTTTTTAAGAACTAGGAAAAAACACAAATAAGCTAAACAAAAGTAAAAAGAGGAATTAATAAAGTTAAAAGCAGAAATAAATAGAAGAAAACACAAAAACTAGTTGAACAATAAATGAAAAAAATTGGTTCTTTGAAATTACCAATGAAATAAATGAATGTTCTTTCTGACAGAGGAAAAGAGGGAGAAGACATAAATAATAATAGGAATAAACTGCAGCTCCAGAGAAAGCTGTTTTATTTCACAAATGAATTTGAAAATCTAAATGAAATCACTTGCTAAGAAAACAAATTACCAAAACTGTCTGAGAAGTAATATAAAACCAATAACCACAGGAGGAATTGAAAGGGTTGTCACAGATCCACCTGTAAAAGTTGTGGTAGACAGCTTCTAAAATGGCCCACAATAATCCCTACCTGCTTCAATTCTCATTTTTGCTTAAGTTCCTTTCCTTGAATGTGGGCTGGATCTTATGACCAGATTGTGGCAAAAGTGATGAGGTGCCACTTCCAGGATCAGGCTAGAAAAAGATTAGGTCACTTCTGTATTGTGGCAGTTTCTGCTTTTCCCTTGCTGGCCTTGATGAACTAAGTTGCTGTGTTGTGAGCCGCCCTTTGAAGAGGTTCACGTGGCAAGGAACTGAGGAAGTCCTCTGGCCAATATCCAGTGAGGAATTGAGGGTCTTAATCCAACAACCCACAAGGAACTGGACCCTGCCAACAGCCACATGAGTGAGCTTGGAAGTAGATCCTTCTTTAGTCAAGCTTTGAGATGACTGTAGCCCAAGTCAACACCTTGACTGTAGGTTGTGAGAGTCCCTGAGGCAGAGGTATGCAGCTAAACCATATCTGGTTTCTTGATCTACAGAAACTGTGAGATAATATATGTCTGTCATTTTAAGCCACTAAATTTGGAGGTAATGTAATATACAGCAATATAAAACTAATACAAATATAGACAACAGGCCCAGACAATTTTCTTTATTATATAAACTGTTTCTAAGCATAGAAAAAGAAGGACAACTATCCAACTCACTCTAGGAAGTTAACATAATCCTGATACTGAAGGTGGACAAAAACAAGATATGCGAAGACTAGTACAGCTGATCACACCAATGAAGAACCCATAAATAAATATTTAGAAAACAAAATCTAACAGCATGTTAAATGAATCATAAGCATGTAGAATTTATCACCAAGAAAGCAACAATTTTTAAATGTATGCAGTACTTATTATGTACTATGATCTGTTCCAGGTTCTTGCTTCTTTGTATAATATAATCTATATTCTGTAATAAATTTATGTATGTCTGTATGTATTTATTTATATTTTCTGCATAATAGCCTGGTAGCACCTATTGGTTAGAAAACTGAGGAGGGTAGAGGTTATGTAAATCCACAGCTTGTAAGTGGTGGAAAAGCTGGGATTTCAATCCACCTCCCAACAGCAGAAATATCTATCAAGTAATTTCCTATATGGTCATATTAAGTAATAATTAAAACATCATTTTAATAGATGCTTTTTTAAAGTTATAAAATTGAATACTTATTTTTTTATTAAAATAAAGCAAAGCTCTCAGAAAACTGGAAGAAACCAGAAATTTACAGCGGACATCACACATAGTGGTTAATTATTAGAAGACTTTCTTACCAAAATCAAGAATAAGACAAGGGTGCCCACCATCACCATTCTTTTTCAACATTGTACTGAAGATCCTGGCCAATGTAATACAGTAAGAAATAGAAATTAATAAGTATAAATAGTAGAAAATCATATATAAATTATCGCTATCTTCTTTGATGATATTGTTTACCCAGAAAATCTAAGGGAAGCAATTGAAAAAGTATTAGAACAAGTAAAAATTAAGTTTTACCAAACATGCTAATACATCAAGGTTAAAAAATCAATAGACAAGCCTCAAATATTTGTAAATTAAACAACACACTTCTAAATGATATGTGTGGCTCAAAAAAGAAGTTTGTAGGGAAATTTTAAAAAATGTAAAACTAAATCAAAATGAAAATAAAGGTTATCAAAATTTGTGAGATACAGCAAAACCAGTGGTTAAAGGGAAATGTATAGCTTTCATTGCATACAACAGAAAGGAAGAAAGGTCCAAAATCTGTAATCTAACATTCTATCTTAGGACACTAGAAAAAAGAAGAGCAATTTAAGCCTAAAGAGAGCAGAATAGAAATAATAAAAAATTAAAGCAGAAGTCAATGAAATTGGAAAAAAGAAAACAATAGAGAAAATCAATGAAACTAAAAACTGGTCCTTTGAAAATATCAATAAAATTGCTAAATCTCTAGTCAAGCTAACATAAAAAAAGAGAGAAAATATAAAATTAAAAATATCAGAAATGAAAGAGGGGTTATCACTACTGATCTCATGGACATTAAAAGTATAATAAAGAAATACTATAAAAAACTTTATGTCTCCTAATTTGATAGCTTGGATGAAATGGACCAATTCCTTGAAAAATAGTTAATCTGAATGGCCCCATATCTATTAAAGAAATTGAATCTGTAATTAATAACCTTCCAAAAGGAAAGCACCAGGCCCAGATGGTTTCACTGGTGAATTTTACCAAACATTTAAAGGAGAAATTATACTAATTCTCTACAATTTCTTCCAGAAAATAAAAGCAGAGGGTACATTCTATTCTCATTCTATGTGGCCAGCATTACCTAAGGCCAAAACCAGATAAAGGCATTACAAGAAAGGGAAACAGTAGACCAATATCTATTTTAAACACAGGTGCAAAAATCCTAAATATTGACAAATTGAATCCAATAATATATAAAAGGAATTTTACACATGACTACATGGGATTTATTCCAGGTGTGGTTCAAAATTCGATCAATGTAATCTGTCACATCAACAAACTAAAGAAAAAAAAACACACATGATCGTATCAATTGATGCAGAAAAAAACATTTGACAAAATCGAACACCCATCTGTGATAAAAAGCTGTCAGTAAACCAGGAATAGAGGTTTACATCCTAAACTTGATAGCACATCTACAAATACCTATAGCAAACATCATGTTTACTGGTGAGAGACTATAGCTGACCCTTGAACAACTTGGGTTTGAACTGTGCAAGTGCACTTATACGCAGATTTTTTTCCCAATAAGTATGTACTACAGTACTACATGATCTGAGATTGGTTGATCAACTTTGTAGGGCTGACTATAAAGTTATATGCAAATTTTCAACTGCACCAGGATCAGTGCCCCTTAATCCCTGCATTGTTCAAGGGTCAACTGTTGATGCTTTCCCCTTAAGACTAGGAACAAGGCAAGGATGTCCTCTCTCACCACTTTCATTCAACATCATACTGGAAGTTCTAGCTAGTGTGTTGACACATGCAAAAGAAATAAGAAGTATAGAGATTGAAAAGAAAGAAATAAAACTGTCAGAGATGGCATGATTGTCTATGTAAAACTTCCCAAGGAATAGACTAAAAAAAACCCTTGAAACTAATAAATGAGTACAGTAAAGTTGTAGAACATAAAGTTAATATATAAATGTCGATTTCTTTCTTGTATAGCAGCTTTGTTTAGTAAATAAGTTCATTTGTGTCATTTTTTTAAAGATTCCACATATAAGTGATAACATGTGGTATTTTTCTTTCTCTTTCTGGCTTATTTCACTTGTTATGACAATATCCAGTTCTACCCATGTTGCTGCAAATGACATTATTGTATTCTTTTTTATGGCTGAGTAATATTCCATTGTCTATATATACCCAGGTATTAACTTAACTAATTAGAAAACTTATGCCCACACAAAACTTGCACACAAATGTTTACAGAAGCTTTATTCATAACTTCCCCAAACTGAAAGCAACAAAGTTGTTCTTCAGTAAGTGAGTGGATAAACAAACTGTGATACATCCAGACAACAGAATATTATTTAATACTAAAAAAAATGAGCTATCAAGCCACAGAAAGACATGGGTAAATCTTAAATGCATATTGTTAAGTGAAAGGAGTCAGTCTGAAAAGGCTACATACTATATGATTTCAACCATATGACATTCTGGAAAAGACAAAGCTATCAGAGTAAAAAGATCAGTGGTTGGTAGGGGCTCAAAGGGAGAGGGTAAGAGTTGAATAGGTGAAGCACAGGGGACTTTCAGGGTGGTGCAAATATCTGTATGATACATAATGGTGGAGATATAACTGCATTTTTCATAACCCATAAAACTTTACAGAACAATGAGGGAACTTTAATGTATGCAAATTTAAAAAATCATTTAGGAGATTGGGGGTCCCAGGGTAGAATACAGCATGTTACAACAGAATCTAACTGTATTGCAAATGTATGGAACAATCTCACTGAAGGACAGTGAGGGGAGAAGGTATTGACCAGAGTAACTTTGGAAATCAGCATAATCTATAAGACTAAAGGTAAACAGACAAACAAAAAAAACCTGTACAGAAGCACTATACTGCAGTCGATAAAGTTGTTTCCCACAAGGGTAGGGGTTAACAATTCTGATACCACTATACATGTATTCTGTACTGGAATGGAATATATATATATACTGGAATTGAACAATTAAGTTAATAGATGGCAGATGATGAGAACCAGGTTTCTCACTGTTGGAGTGAGTTATTGATAAGAAAGAAGAGGCTAGAATCATCCATGTGGGGATGGATTATAGTTGAAGACACCAGCGTGAACTCATGTCTAGCTTGATATATAGATCTAGATGGTTGTATATAGAAACATTTATAGATGTGTGTATACACATGGGCTAGCATACACACAGGTATTTCTTTGTTTTGTCAGCTGACAGAGCCTAGAAGCAATGATACCTTGGTACTAATTAGCATACCCAGTGCCCAGATCTTTGTTTGTAATACCATCCTCCAATAAAAGGAACCAGGGGTCCTTGAAATGGCCGATTTTTAGGCTGGTGCAGGAATTATATAAGATAAGCCTGGAGCATGTTGTAATATTGGAAAATTAGGAAGTACTAACCAAAAAACCTCCCCAAACAAGAAAACAAAATCCACACAGGATTGGGGAGAATGTCAAAGGAGCACAGGAGTCAACTGTAAGAGCGACCAATGGCCAAAATAGAAATATGAACAATAAAACAAAGAAAGTAAGGAGGGAGGGTAGAGCTCAGTGGTAGAGTGCATGCCTAGTGTGCACAGGTTCTGGGTTCAATCCCCAGTACCTCCTCTAAAAATAAATAAATAAATAAACCTAATTACCTCCCACCTCCAAAATAAATAAATATAAACAAATAAAGCAAAGAAAGTAGTATTAGATTATAACTCAAAGTGTAAAATAAATCCACATGTCCATGCTGATAGAGATAATGATTGAATATATTAATAAATGGAGAAGAGAGAAATCTGTTGGTTACAAGAATTCCAAATATTTTATGTAAATACTCTTCCCTCAAGGAAGTGGAGCATAACTCCCCACTCTTTAAGTGTGGGCTGCCCACAGTCCTTGCTCCCAAAGGGCACAATATGGAAAGGGGGAAAGTAACTTTCAAGTGAAGAAATTTGACAAACACAACTCAGCCAGATGATCACAGTTAACATCAACAGCGGTGTCTCGTTAATTGTTACCTTTATATATTAGATAAAAATGGCACTTTACCTCTGTGGGCTTCCTGCCCAAAACCCATAATCCCAGTCTAATCAAGAGAAAAAAACATTAGATAAGTCCCAGTTGAGGGACATTCTATAAAATAACTGACCAGTACTCCCTAAAACTGTCCAGGTCATCAGAAACAAGTAAAGTCTGAAAACTGTTAGAGCCGAGAGGAGCCTAAGGAGACGTGACAAATAAATGTAATGTGGTGTCCTGGATGGGTTCCTGCAACAGGAAAAGGACATCGGGGGAAAACTAAGGAATTATGACTAAACTATGGACTTCAGTTAATAATAATATATTAATATTGGTGCATTACTTGTAAAAAATGTATCATAGTTGTGTAAGTTGTTAAATATAAGGAAAATGAGGTATGGAGTATATGGGAACTCTCTTTACTATCTTTGGAATTTTTCTACAAATTTAAAGCTGTTTCAAAATGAAGTTAATTTAGAAAGAAATCAATAGGACCCAGCAACAACCAATTTGAAATAAAAGAGACGCTTCTTTCACAAAAATAACAAAGCTAGAAAATATCTAGGGAAAAATCAAACAAGAAGTGTGCCAGACGTATAAAAAGGAGGCTATAAAATTTTACTGAAGAACATTTAAAGAGATCTAAATAAAGAGAGAAACATACATGTTCCTGGATGGGAAAATTCAATATTGTAAAGATATCAATTTGTTCCAAGCTAATCCATAAATTTAATTCAATCACAGTCAAACTCCCAGCAAGAGATTTCACAGAACTTGACAAACTGAGTAGAAAATTCACGTGTGAGAGAAACCATGCAAGAATAGCTAAGACAATTTTAAAAGAGAAGAACAATGAGAAGGGGGACTTGCTTTGCCATATATCAAAATATTTTATACATGTAGGGGAATGAAAAGTGTGTGCTAGAGCTCATGTTCAAAATGGATAACAATGGGTGTGGCATAAACTCACACCAATCAGAATGGACCAGGGCCCTGAATAGCCAATTTAGCCTCCGGCAGGATTACTGGCCTAATAATCAGACCTAGTGCTGGGCTAGAGACGCAGAACAAAGCAACTGAATAAAGACCAAAACACATCCATGGGTATGTGGTA